GGGAATTAATTTATGAATCCCATTCGTTTTGGGATTCTTTGGCGTGGTTTGTTAATGCGCGAAACGGGGATGGTAAACGGCGCAAATTCCACGATCGAGATCCTTGAGGACTTGCACCGCGAGTAACGATTAATTAAGTGGTGGCGTGGCTTCGTGCAAACACCGATCGCTATGTCTCGGAGCTTCGCTCTCTGAGTGAATCGAAGAGACGTCGAAAGCCACACATAGTATAGGGGATAGGATTAATTGAATTCGAAGCGACGGGGACGTGAAATAATCTTGCTCGAGGTGAACGAGATTAGTTTTAATCGAAATCCATTCTTGTGAAACGTTTTGTGACATTAATTCTTTTTTCGAAATTTCAAGTCTCTTTTAAAACTGATTAAGTAAACGTTAAAATAAAAAATCGAAGATTCGAGTCGTACGTTAAAAATTTCATCAAGCAACATTTTTCAAAATTGAAAAGAATCGCCATCGAAAAGAATTGAATCGATACGTGAATCGATTCGCTCGAATTTTAATTAAATCTTCGATTGATTCTCGATCGTTTTGTATTTCGAAAATCGAAACGCGAACAGAAGAAGAGATTGTTTCGACAACGAGTTAAATTTATTTGGGGCAAATATTCTTAAAAGGATGAAACGTTTCCTGTTCCGCGAAAAAAAAAAAAAAGAAAAGAAGACGAGTGGATGGGGAAGGGGATTGTTGAATAATCCAGAAACCTAGAATCTTGAAGGCGAAACATTCTCCTTGGACGGAATACGTGTCGCGTTTTAAATCCGCTCGAGGGAAAGAGGAATGAAATGGAGAAAATAAAGCGATGCGAGCGAAATGACGAGAATTCGAGGATTCGTCGCCCTCCTGGGATTCCTTAGACTAAACTTTCGATTCCGTGGAAAGTTATTACGATATTGTGATTCGAGGAGTGGTTTCACTTTACCGAGAAAAAGTTAAGAGAAAAATTATCGGCTGCCAGAGACTTCGTTTATCATTATTCGTAAAATATACAAATTTGGTGCTCGTGTAACATCAGTATTCCTAGATTCGCTAGATTACTAGGTTTTTAGAGATTATTCCATCTCAAGATCTCTGAACTCTAATGGACGACCGGATTATTGGGCATCGTTACACCTCTAAACTACTAAGACCATTAAGTCTCTGGATCTCAGAATCACTAGATCTTTAGATTACTAGACTACCACTAGATCTCTAGATCTCTCTTTCGGGCCTCAAGCCTAGAGTTAGCTTTTTGAATCGTTTGAGCATTAAAAAAGCGATATAAATGATGTACCACACCGCGATGTTTCAACCAGATAAACTGCACAAATGATTGACTGCGGTTTACGTGTGGCCTGCACTGCGCGTATGACGCTCGCCAGTCGATTAATGTCGCGATTTTCGACGGATCTTCCAATTTCTCACTTACTGGATGCATTTTGCTGGAATTCACTTCTAAGATACTTATCCGTCTTCGAACCATATAGATAGATTAGAATTTTTACAAGTCGCGAGTTGAAACAATGGCGACAGTTTATGTAGGTTTATGTTACGGAAAAGAACGATTAGAGAGATGTAACCGGTTAATTCGCAAAAAAGAATACGGCCGATTAACTTATTTATCGCATTTGGATTCGAGATTATAAACTGGCCTGTACCATGTTATCGTTCCCATAAATACGACTGTAATTCGCACAAATAACTATATATCCAACTTGTGTAGACCTACTTATACCATCAATAATAACCAGAAAAAGAAAGAAAGAAAAAGAAAAAAAGGAAACGAAACTCGACGTTTTCAAGTTACAACTGGATCGTCGGGTGCACAGAAGCAGAAATCATTCGTCTGATTTAACGTGTTCCTTACTTTTTCCATCTACGAAGCCATCGATCGGACGTTGCTCGAGCGTGTATCCTCGTCCCGGATCATTCCATTCGTTCGTAATTACGTCGTATCGCGGAATTAAGAATAACACGTTATTGCTCGAGCCTATGTTCGAGCTGGCTCGAGGCTATGTTTGCTCGTCGCGTCCACGCCCGAGCCAGGAATCATCCAACCGGATTTCCATGCAATTACGGGAACCGGGCTGTCAGGGTTGAGGATCACCGAGGGTCCGCATCCATGGAGATGAAAGGGGGCCGACCGAGCCGAGCCATCCCCATGGACCGCCTCTTATTTCGTTCGTTCCTTTCTATTAGCCCCGATTTCAAATCCTCCTCAACGATATCGCTCCGGACTGTGATCACCTCCTCCTCCTCCATTCATTTTCTCGCGAGACTTGTCTTCTCCACAGATGCAACTCGAGTTGTTAAATAAAAGAAGGGAAAAGGTAGGAACACAAGGTTTGTTCCCCGGGTGATCGTAATCTTTTCCTTCCGTGATTCGCGGGACGAAATTGAAGAGGTTGTACGAGCGTTACCCTTCTCGACGTTGTTTTTCGTCGACGAGGTCGTCCAGGTTTGTTTCGCGGATTCACCACGTGATCGAAACTCCTGGGAACTCGGCAACTTCTCCGACGTTATCGGATTCCTGCGCTCCACGCGGTGAAACATCGTGGCCGCTTTAAACGCGAAAGTTGTTCCTCCAGAGAAGGAAGGAAGGAAGGAAGGAAGGAAGGAAAATTGCGGGCAAATAAATCGTTCCCTTCTGCTGGGGAATTTTCCATTCCAGGATTTTCGAAACGATTTGGGATTTTAATTTCCAAAGTCAAACTTTATTCCAGATTTAATCCTGCCGTTCTCTCTCGTTCTGTTCCAGAATTTTATTGTATAACCAGTTCTCGTGTATTTGCCGATACAACTTTTTGATTGACGAGTTATTTCGTTTCACATCGAATTCCACGTGAAAATCGAAACTACATTAAAGAAAGTATACGCGCGACTGTTTTCCAAATTGACGTAACGAAGAATTGGAAGGTTAAGGATTGGTTAAGGTTCGAACACGGTGACAAATTAAGCGAATATCGGTTTGTCGACAGACAGTCACTTGAACGAAATCAATATTCCGGCGCAACTTCCGTCGTGTCCCGCTGAAATATTCGAGGAAATGAAGCGCAACTTTTGCACGTATGCCTGTATTAAAAGGTTCGTTAAAAGAGAGGATTTTCCTTGCGATATGAGCGAGGCGCCGAAGGAAATCGATAATCGTTATCGCGTCACGATCGATAATTGAATTAATTCTGACGATGCGATTAAGCGATCGTGTAATAAAACTTAACAAGATTAGCTGCGAGTATTTTAAGGCGGCACGATGCCTCGTTTAACTGTGATTAAAAGTAAAAGTATATTTATATCGACGTTAAGATATCTTTGATTCATTTTTTCTGTTTCTCCCTTGGATATTTATGAAATATTTACGAGTATCGTGGGCGTCCATTCAACGTTCCTACGAAGAGATTCGATACGTTTTGTTATTTATTTATTTTTTTTCCCCCCTTCTTTCTTTTTCGTTAATATTCCACAAGCAACGTAATGAATCATCTATCGTTCCCCTGGTTGTCTTCGTTTCCCTGGCATTTTCTACATCACACGAATGCCCACGTGTTCTCCTCTGAACGCCTACTTCGCGTTCCTTCAACCGATCCATTCCGCGAGATTTTCCATTCCTCTTCGATGCAAATATCCGTTTTTTAAAAAAACGCTTACTTAAAATTTTTCTCCAATACGCGTATAAAGGCTCGTCCTACGTTCAAAGATGTTAAACGCGAAATTTGCACAAGAAGGAAGTTAAAAATAAACATGCATCAATATCAATATCGAATTTATATTTAATTTCAAGTTTCGCAAGTACTAAGATCTACCACGAAGCAGCATCGTATCGTTAATTTTTATCCACACCCTTCTCTCGAACTTTCTCTCCTCGAAAATTATCGTGCATCTTCGTTTCATCGTCTGGACGAGATAAAGATAGGCACGACGTTGATGATCGATCGCGATGATATAACAGACTCGGTCCTAACTGTTGCATTTCGTTAAAGCGAAACACCGGCCGGCGCGATAGGCGCCGTGCAAGTTATTAAAGACAATCGATCTAATTTTAATCTCATCTCTCTGTCACCCACGCTGCCGCGTTCTCTTGGGGAAAGCGAGGCGTCTGGTCGCGCGACCTCGTAGGGGACACTGCTCCTGCTGCACTCTGATTGGCTGGTAACCGACGGCACTAACGGAAAGTATCTTCGTTCGTCTCCGTCCCACACTGTTCGTCGCTGTCCGTCCCCACTCCTTCACCTCCAGACAGGTTATGTAGTGGGGGAGCTATGGACGACGAGTTGGAAGGGGAAGTCGGTGTGGTGAAAGAAGGATGAAGATAACGCCGAAGGAAGACGTTCGATATATTCGGTGGTGGAGAGACGAGGATGAAATTTAATATAACTAAAATTGGTTGAGGGAGGATGAATCTGTTTATAGTAAAAAGAGAGAAACGATGTCGGGCAACGATGGAATGACGAAGATAGAGTGGCTTGGTGGCACGGAGAGAGAAAGAGAGAGAGATAGGGAGTGCGATGGATTAATAAGAAAGAAAGAAGCTTCGTGAATAGTGATGGATTTGAGAAACATTAAATTAATTTCATTATGCGATGGGAATTTAAACAGAAATTTGTTCAGAATAGGTGTTTTGCAATGGAAAATGCGTTAAAGTACGAATATTTTATGATTATATTTGTCTTCAAAACTTAGGGTAATAATATTGTTTGAAACGATGATGAATATTACGATCGTTATCGATCCATAATATTTCATAAATAAATTTGGAATAATTTCTTCTAATCCCAACAACAATAATATAATTCAAACTTTCATAAAACTGTGGCATTTGAAAATTTACGAGGCAACTATTCAAATGCCCATCACTAGGGATAACGTGGTGGGCGCTTGCTGAGAGACAAAGTCAAACGATCCATAAACCAGTCGTGTATCGGACGGAGATAGAGTGAGACAGAGAAACGGCTCGGCAATGGCAGGGTAAGAGCGGGATAGATGCGCGTGGAAGGGGACAAAGAGGAGCGAGCGCGCAGCAGGAAAGCCGCCGGGCGCCATACTGCTTTCGTTCGTTCGGCACAGTACGCGCCCAGCGCCTACGCGGATCGTCGCGGTGCTCGTCGTCCTCGTTTGTCGTCGCTGGTGGTGTAGTTCTCTTATTTTTTCATTTTTTTCACCCTCACGAATTTTTACGCTAACCCGTGCGTGCTCGCAACAAGGCCGGTCGAACGAGGCATAGAGAGATAGAGAGAAAAAAAGTACATCGTTTCAGTTCGGTTGCAGCCGCTGCCGCCGCTGCTGTCGCTGTTCTTTTCTCGACCGGCTTGCGTGGAGCGTGCGTCTTTCTCGTCGGTGCGAATACAGTGGTGGAAGAAGAAGCATACGGGATTTTACACGCTCGTGAGGACTGGCTGCACGTTTCTCTGTCTGGCTTTGGAGCTGGCCGGCTCTACGCATCCCGCTAGGTGAGTGAACAAAGAACAAAAAACGCGCGATAGGTTAGGCGACATGACTCTTTCGTACTTATTTTCGCGACCACCGCCACCGCTGCCATCGCGAGACGTAAAAAGAGATTCCCATAACCAAGCTGTAACGTGATTATAAATACCGTGGTTTCGTCGCGCCGATACCGGTTACGGTTACATGCTTTTACTTTCGATCGAGGCCGACTCGGCCTCGAAACTCGTCCGCACTTTCGGAACAGCTGCTCCCGTTGTCCGGATCACAGTTTCCACGAATTGAACGAAGGTTAACGATTCACCTTTGTTATTTGTTGTCTACCACCATTGTGTCCGTAGCAATTTTCTGCGTATATGAGGATCTCTTTTTCGAACGTGTTTATCTTTCTCGTTTATCGGAAATAAAAAGTTATCACTTTCTTGTCAATACGTATTCTTTTAATAATATAAGATTTTAAATTTCGGAATGAATTATCTCTTACGATTGAACGCGCGTATTAAATAGTCATAGGATGATGGGTAGTTTTTAAAGCAAGCGAATGGTAGGAGTCGGTTTAGAGTCGGTAAGCTTCCATTGACAATAGACGCTCACGTTACGTTAAACAACAGAATATCGCGAATCGATGTTGACGATCGTTTTGAATCTTGTCACCGTCCGTATCGCGGGAATATCGATGACAATAAAACAAGAGATCGATTACTTCGTTAACCGATTGATTCATATCCATCGATAGGCCAATAGCCGATCATTCGAAAGACCGCAGTTTATCATTTCGAACGGGACACGTTCGACTATATTTCATGCGTTCAACAAACATACGCCACGACGCATGTTTTTTAATTCCTTCTATACAATCCCTGTACCTTTTCACGCTTTTACATCGTTCCTGAACACTGTAAACGTAGAATTGTATTTCGCTGGAAATGATAATGAATCGTTCATTCAAGCGAAATCGCCGATATTTCGAAACCTACATCGATAGTATTTATATCTATACACTAGAGAACAGCCATTCACTGAAAACCGGTATTAGCTATAGTCAGAGTTCTTTCAACTCGAAGAGTTTCCAGATAAAATATAATAATTAGTTCGATAACTGTACATATACGTGGAGTAATGCCATTCGCTTTTAAAACTCGTAATAAATTTTACGATATTTTAATGGATAATAAATGTTATAAAGGTCGTAATAATAAACCCTTTGATAATTATATCGAGATAAGTTTTCTTTTTTTTAACTTATTATTTTACTACGTACAAATGTTTAATTTGTATGAAAATTTATTTTACTTTTTATGGAAAAAAACTTTTACTTTTTAAGTTTTTCGTCGATAGACAAATAGTTTCGAGTTTTTCAATGTTTCCTTATGAAATAAACAATTTGCTTTACGGTAACTCGTTATTCCGTCTCCGACGCGTCCCCTCATCCTTTATATAGTCGTAACGGAACTTCCTGTTTACTTGGCACGAGTTTTTCCTTCTCCACAACGTTGCATCGATCTTGTTGCCACCGAAAGTGAAATCCACCTGCGGGTTGCAAATTTGTTTCGCTTCCTCTCATCTAATCTCTCTTCTATAATTTGCATTCTATCGCTACTTCCTTGCAATTCTCTAGAAGCAACATAAACATATTTGCACTGCAGTTGAATTTTATGAAAAGTAATCGTTCGTTGAATAAATTAAAACATCTAATAATTCTTTAAATTTAATCTTTTAATTATCAAAACGAAACATCATATTCGAAACTCATTTTTCAAAAAATGATTAGAAATTTTCTTGAATTCTAGAATTTCGAAAATTTTTAGCATCTTTTCGAAAGAATAGACGACATTTATAAATCGTTAATCGAATAGCAATTCATAAAATTCTTCACTCGTATTTCTTTTCTTTTTTTTTTTTTATCCACCCTCAGGCTACATAAAGCGATCGTTTTCGAAAGTGACTGTGCAGTGTAAGACTGGTCTTTCCATTCTTCGTCAGCGATCTGCTATGCCAGTAGCAGATGTTTCTTGCGGACAGAGGACACGAATCTTCCGTTCTGAATCCTCGTTCTCGAAACATAAATCCCAACTTCTGACGGTACATTGTACGCTCGATGTGCAATAAATACAGCATAAATATAGCATAATAGTTTTCTGATGTGCATTAAGACGTATCGGTTTTCACTTCCCTATTCCTTTTGATTCAAAAACATATTTTCGAAAATAATTCATTGCTTTATACACAAAGTTATTTTAGAAAAGGGAGAGGAGGCAATTCAAATAATCCGACATCGTATTATAAATTTCCCTCGCGAGGAGGAGGAACAAAAACGGAATTAAAAATTATCCACGAAAATGGTAATTCGCGGAGCATTCCACTCGTCACGTGGAAAGTCAATTCTTCGTTCCGTCGTCGAATCGTCGCGTGGAAAAATCTCAATTTCTGCTTTTCCACCTATGCACCCCCTCCCGTGGCAATAGAATTTCATATATCCGCATACGGCGACGATGCACACGAAGGCAATTCATCCGCGGCGTCTACACTTTCTCGCATTCGTTTTGCCATCCGGTCGTGCGGGTCTGGTAGGCGTGCAATCGTTAATCGTGTAGGTTGACGTCGAAAACATGGAGGGGAGGGAGGAGAGGGTTCCTGGAAGGAAGCAAAAGGGCAACAAGGTTGAATTTCGTGGAAGAGGCTGGACGCTGGTAGCGTAGCGTAGTTGGAAAAGGGAGGACGAAGAAGGGTGGAAGGAGGAGATCTTCGAGAACGAGCCAGCTGATGTAATTTTCTTTTTGCTCCTCCGCTCTCTTTCTTCCTTCATCTCCTCCTCCATCATCGCTATCCCCTTTATCCCCCCCCCTTCGTATTTTCTTCACACCGTCTCCTCCTCGCTTTCGAGTTAACCTTTCGAATCGAGTGAAATCGAACTCTTTGTTTGACCGAGGAGAAGAATCCTCGGTCGCTTGTCAAACTTCCTTTAAATCGGACGCCTCGTGTCTGAGCGTCGAGCTGTGGTGTCGATTCGCACGGCGGAGGGAGTGAATAAAGGGAGAGACGTAGAGTGAGAGGGAGGAGAAGGCAAGAGGGGCGTGTTGCCATGGCGAATTTCGCGTGTCAATGGGATCCCTCGAACCGTGTTAACGAGAAAATGCCGGAAGCTGGAGAAATGGCCCTTCTTTTTTTCCTCAAAGAATTACTAAAGCCCTTCTCCGCTATATTTCTTCTTTTTTTTTCTTCCTTCGTTTTCTCTTTTTTTCTTTCTTTCTTTTTTTGAGAAAAGAAGTCTGGTTATTATTACAGATGAATCAGGAATCAATCGTTGTAATTACTTTTTCGTTCTTCGAATGATTTCTATAACATCGCTTTTTCTTTCTTTTTTTTTTTTTTTCTTTTTTTTTCCTTCCATTCTTTATTTGTTCCATTAATCACGAAACTTTCAGCGATAGATACGGGTAGAGAATGCAATTTATCTTCGTTCGCTATCTGAAAAAAACTGAACCCCTCGCACGCGAGCTGCATCCGGGCGCGAAAAGGTTACGTAACCTCTTCTCTTTCTCTCTCTCTCTCTCTCTCTCTCCTTTTCCGTAGCCCAATGTCGAATAATTCGACTGTAATTACATCACGTTTAATTACATTTCCCTTCTGTGCATAGTTTCGGAACACCTGTCCCCGATAAAAAAAAATAGTTAATTTGCATTTTTATTGGTAATTAATTTGAAACGAGCTCACTCCTATTAATCCCGAGTAACGTTTAAACTTTTTGCTTCGATAAAATTAAAAGTATAACTTTTAATCGAACCTGCAGCCCATCCAACTTATGTCTCCAACCTCGAATACCGATATACATTTAACGATCCCCCCCCTCCTCCTCCTATTCACAGCGTATAGAATTTTAAAAGGTCCGACCTCTCCCGCCAGGGACCGTCATTAACGACTCTCGATCGTTTCGACAATCGATCGTTAAGCCAATTCGATTAGCTGAGTAGTAAAAAAGAAATGAAAAAAAGAACTTAATCGCCTCGAATATTTGCCGTCCCCCCCCTCCCCCCCCCTCCCCGATACTTTCGATAAAATCGGCGATAAACTTTCCGAAATCGTGGCGCGCTTTCAACTCGAGTCAGGTAATTACTCTCGAAACGCAGGTGGCTTTCCTTTACACATCCTTTACACGCTCGAAAATCGCTTACAAATGACCATTAGTTAACTCTCCCTCTCCTCCTTTCGTCTAATCTTTTACTCAGCCCTTTCCTTCTCTTTCCAACATTGTTGTCCGACGTTGTTCGTTTCTCTCTCCCTCCCTTTCTCCAAACAGAGAGAGAGAGAGAGAGATCGTTGGCGTGCCATTTAAGAAATGGGGAAGACGTCTATCTCCCCTTTCAAATTTCCACGAATGAACGTTCCATTCCGCGAAACCTTTGAAGGGGCCCTGTCGTTTCCCTTTCTTTATCTATCGCGGAATTAAGATCGGCCGTCTCGTCGCGGCTCACACGCTCTCACGCCCGTTCATTAAGACTCGTTAGAGGCGCGGTGACCTCTGCAGATCCTACGATTACACGTCACTGTCCTCCTGACACACGTCCGCCGATATATCATTTCAACCCTTCAACAGAGGACAAACAACCTCCTCTAATCACGATCTCTCGCGGTCGCTATTTGTGCACGCGTTCGTAATCGTTTCGCCTCTCTCTTTCTCTTTACGGGTTCCTTTCCACGTCTCTCTACGCGCGAGCGTAAGAGTGTACACGTGTCGAAATTCTCGAGCACGAGCCGACGAATAGCTTGTTACTCCAGCGGGCCAATTAGCGATGAACGAAGGGAGCGGACTCGTGTCTATCTCAAGTGGTCCTGGTTTCGCTCTTGGATCGCACTGACGATTTTTTTTTTACGTTGGAAAGCACCGGTCTTAACTTACTTTCCTTTTTTTTTTTTGTTTTTTTAGGGGTAATAGTGCTTGATAGTTGAAGTTTGGACAGAATTTTATATACTTATTGTCTCTCGTTAGGAGAGAGAGAGAGAGAGAGAG